CAGCTTCTCAAACATAATCACAGGCTGAGGCAGATGCTGCCCAAGCACTCAGATTTGGCTATTTTTCATCATTGATCCACATCATCATGTGAACCTCAGAGGGTATTAAAATATACATAACAGTATTAATATGCACTGACATTTACTTCCTGCATATTAAAACTGCTCCTTCCCTTGTAGCTTTCTAACCCACTATGGGCTACATGAGCTTTCCACGGGAGGAAAGAGCAGTGATAAACACTATATGAACACTGGGAAAATTGTCACTGGACTGGTTACCTCTGTGGGGGATCTGTAGCTCGTCACTGCAGGACCAGAGAAATCTGCTCCTCTCCCAGAGTCTGAGGAAAGGGGGGACTTTTTTCTTGGGACTGAATCTAGAAAACAGTGTTTCCACGTCAAGAAATCTTTAATTTCCCTGAATTCAGTGGTACCATTTTTCCCCATGTTAAATCTTCTCTACCCACCAGAGATGGAGGATTCTGGAGATGCTCCTGCCTCTGTCAGTAGCAGTCTCTCTCTCCAGAGGCTGGATCTCCCTGAACTTGTCCCTGAGCTGGATAATCTTTCAGAGATCTTCTGTCCACTGCTGAACTCCGAGGTTGTCTGCAGAGTCCTGTCAGAAGCCATAGAGGAGTCGTACTCCTCCTGCTGATCCCAGCGTTCAATGTGTGAAGGAACTGTCACACCATTGTCTGGGCCTACAGCTAAAACAAATAAATAAGTCGGTGTTATACATGCAGGAGATGAAAGTGCCCGATATTCACGTCTTACTGCAGCTGAGCAGACCTGCGAGTTGGCTGGCATCGACCGGAGTCTCCACCTCTTGAATAGCACTGAGCTCGTGCTGTTCAGTCATCATCTCCAAGAAGCCCAGCCTGAGGCGTGTCACAGGGGGCTTTGCTGCTCGTGGAGGGTGGAGGTGTCCTGAGTGGAGGACTGATGTCAGGCCAGGTCCGGCAGGAGCATCACTCTGAACTTTAAAGCACAAGAGAAACAACCAGTCAGAAATATGGACAAAAAAAAAAAGTGTACCGTTTCATTTTTAAAAACAATGTATTACTCTACATTTCATTTTAATGCCAGTGACCTCGCTCTGCAACTTTACATGCTCACACTGAGTTGATGTTATCCCTAAACACTACCACTTTGCAATAAAAGCCCTTACAATTGATTGTGGAATATCTAGGAGAGGAATTTTCACAAACTGACTTGCTGTAATCCCATTACAGTAGACTGCATGACTAGGTACTTGTTTTTATTGAAGCCCAGGTTTATTAGGACAGTTTTAAAGTTGAGAAACAACAATGACAACATTCAAAAAACACAAAGCCTGAATTTAAAGATGAAGATATAGTGTCCCGTCCTGGACTCTAAAGAAGATAGACAAGACAAGATTCCACTTTTACTTTTGCAGAAAAGCTGGAGAACGCTTTTGGGAAAACGTTCTCGTGCCCAAAATGTTCTTTGAGCACCAGACACAAATTTAAGGATTTGTAATTAATTGTTCATCTCTGTTTTTAAAGAAGACAAAATTAAACTGTTAAAGGAAAAAGTAAGAGAACCTGACTGTGAAACACTGACGGGGGCTTTATAATATCTGACATTCTGCCTTGAATCTGCACAGGAGAAAAATCAGAAGGTTTTGAAACATAAGGCAAACAAAAGCAACATTTCCGTTGCATTAATTAAGGACAGGGTTCATACGCCTTTTCAGGGTCAAATTCAAGCACTTTTTAAGCACTTTCAAGGTCCCTTTTCAAGCCTTTAAGAATGCACAAGCATCTACTTAAAATCTATTGAATTTATCATCCGTGATATTATTATGTACAATCCCAATGTATTTTGTTCATCTGCCTTAAATAAACAGGCAGCCTTAAAGTATGAAATATTCATATATAAATACACATAAATGTGTGAACTGTCTGAGTGGCTGATTGTGCCCCACAGGCCTCAGTGTGAGCTTGAAGACATTTATAATGTTTAAGTAGTTTAATGTGTAGGAGCTGACGATAAACACATTTTGAATGAAAGCCGGGGAACTTTGGTAGCACAGAAACAAGTGGCTATTCTTTGTGACCATATGGATCACTCCCTCATATTACCATTATTTCACCCAAAGGCACCAAGTTAATACTTTAAAAAACTGCAGTAATACAAACAAATATAAACAGTACTTGGTGACAACTTTGCTTTTAGCCTTTAACCCTCTGGTGTCCAGGGTATAATTGGCCGTTTTTGACTACTTTTGATTTGGCCTCTATATTTCACCTTTCCCTTTCACCTATATTTCAGCACAATTGAACTAAATTCAGACATAATTTAAAATATGAGTAGAAAGTGATATTTTTGACTGTAAAAACCACAAGCATGTTTAAGGAATCATTTTCATAACTTGAAATGCAAATAGAAATTGTACATTTTTAAAAAATATGCACAAGTTTTGCAAACAAAGTTATTTGGTACTATTTACCTAAAAATGCAGCCAAGGCTCAGGCGTTTTTCATATAACCATTTCAAACTATTTACAGAACAATCAGGTGCTCTGCGTCAAATAAGGCGGCACACAAATTATTTATGCAACTCCAAAAAATAGTTTGTGTTCACTATAATACAGATGAGAACAGCACAGGGATAAACCTGCAGGTCTGACAGCAGGTGTGTCACTCAGCGTTTACACTGCAATCTGCCTTTAGTGTTTTTTTGCAGCAACTGTGACATTAACTAGTAGAACTAACACACAAAACAACAACTACACAATAACTATACAAGACAACACACTAACTTGAGACTCCAAACACGGTAAACGTCACAAATCTCTCACGTATCAAAACTCTCTCTCTCGCCGGTCACTCCTAAAACTTCCCCCTCTTCCCAAACCATCAAATGCCACATGTTGCCATATCATTTTTTGATTGGTCGACATGGTACATTTTTCCACCAATAGGGAAGGAGTGTTTTTTTCTTTTTCTTTTTTCACTCACAAGCAAAGCGTGTTTGCTGGCGCTCTCCTTAGAAAACTGGTATACAGCTTGAAGTCCGCACGTTCGACCCAAGTTGAAATGGAGACTCCGTCGACCCCAGAGGGTTAATCAGAAAGCCTTAAGTTGGCTAGTTATGTATCAGGCTAATGTTTAAAGCTTTCACTTGAGTAAATTAACTCACATTACTGCCAAGTAATGTTAGCCAAGTTCACAGCATATTCCATAATAGCGCTGCCACACTGCATCACTCTCAGTGCATTTCAATCATTTCTCCAGCGAGTTTGATAGCTAATAATAATAATCATAATTTTAAAAAATTGCATGTGTAACGTACACGTACTGGAAAATTATTTACTAGGACCTATCATGAGACTGGAGAGCGCCAACTCCGCCATTGTCGTTTTCCATCAAACACTCATTACAACAGCAACCTACAGGTATCTTAGCGCACTCATCCCCGACTGTTAGAGGGAGGGGCGGGGTCACACGTTGAAACAGACGCAAGGCAGCCAGGCAGGGAAATTTTGCTTTTACATTTTGCGACTCATTTTATTTCTCTATCTGATAAGAAAACTATTCAATCAGATAGTTATTTGTTGTGAATGAAATACAGTTACACTTTCAAGCACTTTTAAGCACCACATCCAAAATTCAAGCACTTTTCAAACCTTGAAAAAGACAACATTAAAATTCAAGTATTTTCAAGGAGTTCAAGCACCCGTACGAACCCTTTAAGGAATAAAGATCAGTGGTTTGTAATAGTGCTTGTTAACTTAAGAACGATCGTTATTATTGTTGACTTCATTCAGTCATGTGCAATTGTCCCAGAAATAATTTTGACAAAAATATCTCCATTCTCAACATGTCAGCTACCTGTTTGACTGCTGTTGGATGGATGTTGTTCAGAGGAGCTGTCGCGATCTTGAGGGTCCTCTAGGTGTGATAAAGTTCCTCCATTAGACTCCTCTATGGCCTTGAGCAGGGATGCAAGTAACTGGAGGCGGTTCTGATTAATGTTCTCCGAAACGACTGTTTCACCATCAGGCCGAGAAACTGGCTGTAGGTGAGAAAAAGTCATCAGGATGGTTCATTTCTCACATGTTCTTTCACTCTTAAACATTTAAGCTGACGGTGTTTTTTGGCACTCTGCTTTTCAGTCTTTGTTTCTACGCAATCCTTTCTTAAAACTAGCTTTAACAGTCCTTTCACTTACTTGTGCATCGGTATTAATCAGAGCTTGCAATGTCTCCTTTTGTCTCCTCATCTGCACCATCTCCAAGTCCTGTCTCCGCCTCTCGTCTTCTCGTTGCCTTTGCTGCAGCATCAGTGCCTCCCTCTGCTCTAGTACTCGCCTCTGGGCCTCCTGCAACTCTTGTCTTTGTCTCTCCATGTTGTCCTCTCCAACGCTCAGGGATCCAGTGCTCCGAGAGGCCTCTGCCTCAGCCAGAGCATAACCTGAAAGTGGAGCTGTAACCTCTGTGATAGTCGATTTCATGACCTTGATGGGTTCAGAGGATGGCTGCACTGGGATGCTGCTAGAGTGATGTTCTGTGAATCGTTTACAAGGCAGCTTCTCTTTGGTGACTGACAGCGGTCTCATTCTCTCTGGAAGGTGCTCTGTTACTTTCTCCATTATGCTGTCAGTCAGCCAAGACGTGTCATTTAGTCTCTGGTATCTCAGACTGTCTGAGTCAGATTCAACATCATCTGGCAGCGGTTTGGAAGCCAGACTAAAACCAGATAGGCTCGGAGGGGACGTTAATGTGTCAGATTCTTCTGTGGAAACATCCTCAGAGGTTTGTGGCAATTCATGATTATACACACGCACTGCATGAGCCTGGAGAGGAGCCTGGGGAGGAGCCTGGAGAGGAGCCTGGAGAGGAGCCTGGGGGGGAGCCTGGGGAGGAGCATGGGGAGGAGCATGGGGAGGAGCACGGGGAGGAGCACGGGGAGGAGCACGGGGAGTCTGCAGAGAGGGGTGGAGAGGAGCATGAAGAGGAGGATGGAGAGGAGCCACAAGAGGAGCATGGGGAGTCTGCAGAAGGGGATGGAGAGGAGCCTGCAAAGGGGCCCAGGGAGCGTGGAGAGGAGCGTGGAGAGGAGCCGGCGCAGCTTGCAGACGACCTGGATGACGAACACACTGTGTACTGTTTGGAGGTGGATGAGCAAGGCCTGGAGGCACAACAGGAGGTAGTAATGAAGTGGCAGTCATGTTGTAACGAATCTGTAGAGCTTGTTGGTATTCCTCCAGGCGCTGGCGAGCCACTTTCACTCTTTGGTGGATTCTAAAATTAAAAAAACATCAAAACAACAACAAAAACAGGAGGGTCAAAGGCATTAAAGTTATGTAAACTCAGAATCACAAACTGGCCCAAACAGATTTATTCATCACACCTGTTTTGCTCTAACAACCGCTGCTGGTATTCTCTGATCCTTTTGCTTTGGTCGTCCTTATCTGCAGGAGGAACTACCTGTGAAGATCAAACACAAAGGAAGGGATTACTCATACAGCCTGGAAAACCCCTCACAGAAGACAATGGTGGAGGACAAAACCTTGAATTTTCACAGTTCACATTACTAGTTTTTGACCAGTCCCTCCCAAGTGTGTGTGAATCTGTTAGATTTATTTTCTCAACTTAATTTTTCTCTTCTTATCTGGAAAATATCCCATCTAAGCTCCATCCCCTTCTAAGCTGGGCTATGAGCACAGAAGCTCCACCTACATGTTAATCAAACCTTCTGTTTGTGAGAGGCAGCCAATGAGAAGAATTGCTCAAAGGAGGAGGAGCTAAACTAGCTTGCTTCAAAGTCAGGATGTCATGAGGGAAAACACATACAATAATGTGAAGATTATTTTGAACTGTAAATCAGGCAAGAGCAAATTATACATAATACGTTGGTCAACTTTAAGCAAAAAACAACAAATAACAACTGAACATGTTTCTCAGACTAAAGTAATATTAGACCCAAGGAGGTTAAGCATCAGAAGATGTTAACCGCATGTATAACATCCATGACATATTTTGCATCTTCGCTATTATGAGCATGTCAAGATTAATCCAATAAATATAATTTTCAATAGCCATTAAAAAAACCTGATAACAGGAAAATTGAATGGAGGTTTGACAGTTGGATTAGAGACCTACCTCATTGGCTAAATTAGGGGTGATAGAGATGACATCGTGGTCATGGACTGGCACTTCTGGTTGGTTAATGGTTTCTTCCTGGGTCACGGCAGCCTTCAGTCGTTCTTTCTCCTGCTGAGCTTCAAGCAGCATCTGCTCCAGCTTGGCCTTCTGCTCTTCCAGCTCCTGCAGCAAAAACATCTGCTGCTGCTTCTCCCTTTCAAGCTCCGCTTCCTGGGCAGGAAAAAAAAAAAAAAAAGAGGCTTAAAAAGTGATGCTACTAGATGCAAACTCAGATTTGAGCTACGTTTTAGTTTAGAAGATAAAATTTTAGCTGCATCAGGTGTGTTACTGTTAATTCAAAGCTAGCCCCTGGTAAAATCTTTATCACCTCCTCTCCAAAAATCACCAGCAGGAATTCACAACAAGCCCACAATGAGTTTCTCAGCAAAACCTGGTTCTAACCAGTCAGTGAACTGGTGATGAAGTACTGGGACAACAATGAAACAAGTGCTTACAATATAGAGAAGATCTGTTCGATCAACAATGCTCTGCTGCAGTGTCAAAATTCTGGGACAGAATAGAGAAGGGGGGCACAGAAAATCAAACAAGAGGGGGGCACAGAGCAGTAGTCTCGCATACTTTGTACACCGCCTCCATCTGACTACAGAGCTCCCTGCAGGCATGCTCGGATTTTAGCGGACAGTGAATGTGCCATCACTGCAGGACTAAAAAACAAGCTCCGAACCATCACGGGACACAGAGTACAGACATTTAAGGTTTTTACTCTCAATATTAACTCCTCCCATCTAAGTGAAAAGTCTCACAGAAATTAAAATGAACACGTACCCGTTTCTTTCGCTCTTCTTCAAACTCTTGGATTCTATTGGCCAGAGCAGCAGGAAACTGAGTATCTGAAGCTGATGATGGCAGCGGCGTTTTCTCTGATGCTGGTTGAGTTCAGAAAAAAATCCACAAGATTATTACCTTGTAATAAACATTTGTACTTTTTTAAACTGTTAAAAGAATATTAATAGTTTTATTAATATTTATGTAGATTGTTCTTACAGCTGATGACAGTCACTGATTACCTGGTGGAGACCGGTCAGCCTCCTGGGGCTCGGTGGGGGTCCATTCGTCTTTTCCTCCGCTGATTAGAGAGCCTGTTTCGATCGTCATGTCGCGCTCTGGGATCTGATCTCGGATGATCGTTGGGGAATCAGCAGCAGAGCTGCGACTGCTGTGGTCAATCCACTGGTTCCTTTGGCTCCTGATACGATCCAGGAGCCTCTTCAATGCCCGTCGAGGAGCAGGTTTCTGGGAAACCACTGCAAGCAAAGAAAGACTCAAGGAACTTACATCAAGGTTCCAACATTCATGCTACATTCTGGGCCAGAAGGTTTTTATTTGTCTCAGAATTTGACATAATTCATACAATACACTTCAGTAAGCTATTATCTGACAACTGATCTTATTATAAACTGCACAAGAATGACTTGAGTTTTTAAATCTGGTGCTTCTGGTCACCTTCAGCTGATGTTTCCTGCTCAGTGCTTCCAGGTTCCTGCTCTGTGTCATGTTGTGCATTTTCTGTTTCAGGTGTTGTGATTTCATCCACTGTGACATCCAGCTCTTGATCTTGGCTGGTTGTGGAATGGGCTGGAAGAGGCTCAGGTGCCAGCTGGACCACCAGGTCACCTTTAACCCCTGTAACAATTAACAAAGTTTAAAGAGGCTTCAGAGCAACTTCAGTGCCCATTTCTGGCCAACTTTGTTTCTCTGGTTTTAAGAACATGTATGAATACTGAAAACCCGTATTTGCTACAAAATACACGATGAAGAGTCCTTACTCCTCTCTCCAGTGTACATGTCCTCAAAGGCGAACTCCATCTCCCTCTGGAAGTCTTCCCTCATTTCCTGTCTCTTATAGAGAGGCTGGAAGATCTGAGGAGGCATCTGCGACACCTGCTGCCTCCTCCTGAGCAGATCTGTCTGCTGCATGTGTTCCAGTTCAACCAACAAACGCTCACGATCCTAAAGGAGGCCATTAAACACTGATCAGGCACTTCATATGACCAAAAAGTAAACAGTTCTCATCTCTGCTTACAGCTAAACAAGTTAAATGCAAGCCTATCAAACATGTTAAAGTACTACATTTTTTAAACATGTAATGAAAGTGCAACCTCCACAAGAATTTCTTTATTCTGGCATGTAAGTGACTAGGTTAATTAGTCGCCAGGTTAACAGGCAAGTTGTACCTGCATGAGCTGTTCCTTCCTCAGAGCCTGCCTCCCTCTGAGACGAGCCTTCTCCAGCTGCTCTTCTCTCCTCCTCATTTCCTCTGTCTCCAAGTCCTGCTGTCTTTTCGCATGTAGCTCAGCTTCCTCGCGGGCATTTGGCTGATTAGGCAGATCGATTAGATAACTCTGACAAATCGCGCTGGTGAATACAAACAAAAATCAGAGGGTGTTTTACCTGGTTTATGTCCACCTCTCTGTCCACTGTACTCTTGGCCATGTGGTAATGTGTGGTAGCGAAAGCACTCACATCCGATCTCCTTACGAAACGTGGCTTTTTGGGACTGATGTTCTGCTTCAAGGAGAGAAGACAAGGTTACCTTGACTTTCATTTAGCTTTACTTTCATTTGATATTCAGGATTTGGAAACATTCAGGAAATTATTATCACTGTTTGGGAAGATCACCTGAACAGGGTTTGGGAGAGGCAGTGGAAGGCTAGCCACCTTTGCTGATCTTTCCTTTTCTGCCAGTAATGCCTTCTTCCTGGCATTGACAACTCTACAGAACAGTGAAGCCACAGGTTTAATGATCAGTTCATTCTGATTAAATTTAAACACATAAACATCTGAAAATTCTTGTGATGACGCTCACTGGTTTTGCCTCTCATGGTCTTTAAGCCTCTGTGATTTGAGCTCCTTCAGCGCTTCTCGATAACGCTCCTCTGCTTTGACGTGATTCTCCTCCTCCCTCTGAGCTATGGCTGCCAAGTCGGGTTCCTTGAACAACAAGTTTAGCCACAAAAAATAAATATCATATGGACAAGGGTTAACAAGAATCAAATATCAACATGGTGCAGTGTATTCTGCCTTTTCTAAACAATTCAAATACTACTAAAGTGTCCTAGTGCAAAAGACTGAAGCACGTTAGACTACTATTACTCTGCTTCTTCCTTAAGCAGATTGAACATTAATATTTTGTTTTCTCACAGAGTGAAAAAACCCAACCTAAGTTGGAGCTCTAGCTCGGGGACATAATTTATTTGACAAAAGTCATTCAAAGTTTAAACTTTTAGTAACGTAATCAGTCTTTCAATAGCTTCTATGTTTTTTCCCCAAAGTTTAAATTGAACTTTTATTAAAAGTTGACATTTCTCCTTCATTCTGCAGACACGATAGGATGACATCACTAACTGCTGATTTCCGTTCTAGTCTTTTAAAAAAAATAGTTTCATGCACAGGTCTTATCCTTTCATGTACAAATGATAAAACATACCAAACTTTTTTGTCCACTTTCAACTGAGAAGACACATTGTAAAATTTCAGTTGAGAATTGGAAATGCAGGATGTCTCTCTCTCTCTCCTGCAATTACTTCCATATAATAAAGACTACGGTTGTGAAAAATTAGTATGTGGTCAAGCAGCTGGTGCAATGATACACTCAAAATGTCTTAGTTGGATACACAACAACTAGAACGTAGCAAAAAGTATTCGGTGGAGGTTTTTTCCCCAAAGGATGACAACATATTTTTCTTTGGATTTTGGACTGTCACTGTTACTTTGATCTGTGGATTTCAGTATTCATGACAACTGAAAAAATATTTTTATAAATTAAATAATTAAAATAATAGCAAATATATATAATTATTTGTGTATATTTATATGAAGCTTGCTTTACATGATTTATCTAACTGTCTTAAACAGATGAATCTTCTCGGGAAGTTTAAGACATTTTCTAACTAATTTCAGACATTTTAATGACCCACAGAAACCCTGTGGACACTGCACTGATGTGGCTCAAAATTTGGTTTCATACATTCTTTTTATTCTTTCATAATCCCCGTTTTAGTGTCTCTAATTTTAACTATTTTAGCCTTACGTTTTCTTTTGCATTCCTGTGCCCCTGGCCGAGCAGCTGGAGACTCTCCTGGTATAACCTCTGCAGCCTCTGGAGCTTTTCCCTCTGCTGTTGCTCCCACTCCTTCCTCAGCTCCCGCTCAAGTTGTTGCAGCTCATACTGTCGCCTCTGCTCAACATCTTGGCGGATCTGCTGTGCAATGTACCGGTGCTGCTCCCGCACCTGTGTGTCAACACAAAACACACACTCAGTGTGCATATATCACGCAGAACTATGCCCATGGCATAGTGACAGTAGGTTACAGTGATGACCAACTTAATTCTCTTCATCACGTCATCTGTCAACAAAAAAAAAAATCAATGCAATACAAAAGATAAATCTTGGCCACTAATACCAGCAAATCTAATCTTATTTGAAAAAATAAATAAATAAATAAAAATGTGTCAGCAAACTTTACAGCAGAATACTTTGTGAACTTTAGGTCCTTCACTGGTTAGTTACATACGAGACTTTACAGCTTCATCATGCTAAAAGAAATACTACGCGAATACCCTGAAACTGTCTGCCTTTGTTTATTCATGTGTCAAAGCAACTTTCGGAGACAGAACAGACCGATCAGACTTCAAAAAAATGACTGTACGCACACAAAAAGACAGATCTTTTACACATGCAAGTAAAATTTAATGTAGGCGAGGAACCTGAAATTATGAACTCATATGAGCCTTAATATAGTGTTTATCAGACAGAAACTGGGGTTCAAGTAAGCACTGGCGCTTCATCGGAAAACATCCCACAGGTGCTGGAAATCAGGGACCTAAAGTGAAGCAGAAAGCCATAACACCGCCTTATTACCTGCTGTATCCGCAGTTTTCTCCTCCTTTCCTGCTCCTCTCGTATCATCCGAGCCTCTTCGTTGGGACTCGGTCTTAATCTGGACACTTTTCTCTTCATTTTCGAGCACTTCACTGGCGGACATTTCCCCCAAAAAAGCAAACAGCAGGTTGCGGTTCAGCTAGCGGCGACGGCTAATGTTTGCACGCTTCACTTTGTTCGCCGGCATAAAGGTTCCGTAGGACAACTTAAACTTGAAACAAGTGTTTACTATACAAGCAATTACCAGGCAGGACGCTTAAAGTGCTGTTTATTATCCGAAATCCATGCCAACCCAAAAAACGGACGTTTTTGTTTTTTTCTTTGTCCTAAACGTCACATCCGGTAGTTTAAACTGCCCGCCGTGTCTTTGCCGTCCACATGAAATATTAGTTCCTAGTCATTATATCTGCATAAAAAAACATATTATGCATTTAAACATAAAATACATTTAAAAAATACATCAATAATATATATATACAAGCATTAAATACGTAAATAGTGCTAAAGTGACACAAAGCGTTTGAAACAGCTTCCAACCTCAGAGTTCATCACAATCGCGGTGGGAGGGGGACCGTGCAGGAGTTACACTCGTTCCTGTATTGATGAGCCTTTCACCGCTACTGGAACATTTAATGCAATACCCGAGTATTCCTCGATACCTCCAACACTAGTGAACGCCAGAGGTAAGATTTACAGGAGTAAAATAGTATTTGGTGTTTTAAGCTGTTCTCTTGAGCTTTCGAGTCTCCTTTTATGCTGTGAGCTAAGCAAAGAGCTAACACTAGCTAGTGTTGCTAACTAGTAAAACGTTACAAAGTGACTAAAAGAGCTGAATTATTATCATCCAAAGTTGTTGAGGAGCAGTTTCTAATTCTCGTTTTTTACTTTAACATTTGGAAGTGAAGTATTTTAGTGTTCTGGTTATTAAACAACCTATATCAAATGTTTGATTCAGAGGTTTTCTGGTCTCCCCTGTGTCTGTGTTTGATGACTAACCCTTTCTGCCTGTCCACTCCACTTCTCAGCCAAGTCTGTCATCATGTCTGGTGGTCCAGCGGTGAGGATCAGCATCGAGTCTTCCTGTGAGAAGCAGGTGCAGGAAGTGGCCCTGGATGGGACAGAGACCTATGTCCCTCCTCTATCCATGTCCCAGAACTTGGCAAAGTTGGCACAAAGAATTGACTTCAGCCAGGGATCCGACTCAGAGGAGGATGTTGAGGGAGAACCCAAGGACCGAGAATGGGGCAAGCAGGATGGAGAGGAGGAAGAAGGTAAAATGCTTAAATAAAGCAAGGAGCTAGAGCTACACGAGCCATCACACATTCCTTGGTATAATCAGCTGCTGTGTGCCTTAGGCCAACATAAAATATCAAGCTGAACTTCATTCATCATAGGTTAAACATTTCAGTTCAGAACTTCACTTAGATGGTGAATAATTACCAATAAATATATAATTTTCATGCCAAATATCCTTGGACAAGATACTAGAAGTTGATCAGAGTATGAAAGCATGTGAATGTTACATATAAAGAGAATAGGAAAAAAGTGCTTGTGGGAATGGGTGAATGAGGCAAGTTGCGTAAAGTGCTTTGAGGGCTCAGAGTAGAAAAGTGCTGTATAAGAAACAATCTATTTACCATTTAAATCACAATGGAGCCTGTCATGTTTTGAGGCTGCAAGGTGTTGGAGGCCTTGTGAAAACTGATGGAATTATGAATTCTGTCAATCCTAAGAGTACACCCGCTGCTCCAATAAATAAATAAAATGGATTTCAGGAGTAATGAGATCCAGCTAAATAAAGTTAAACTTTATTTACAATTTACTCCTGACTCTGCTGAAGAAAGGAGGACCACCAAGTAGACTGCACAAATGAATTGAAAACAGAACATAAGGTTTTTTATCACTTGTTGGAATCGAGCCCAATTTTCTGTTTTCTTGCATAGGCACAGTAAAATTTCAGCCGTCTCTTTGGCCCTGGGATTCGGTGCGTAACAACCTCCGCAGCGCCCTCACAGAGATGTGTGTACTCTATGATGTGCTCAGCGTGGTGAAGGAGAAGAAGTACATGGCTTTAGACCCCGTGTCTCAGGATCCAGCAGCTGGAAAGGTAAATTAAACATGTCACTTAAACTGATTTTTTTTAAGGGTTTTTTAAGGGTTCTACAAAAATATCTCTAAATGTCAGCAAAGCACTCTTAGGTTTGTCCACAAAGAGATCTTTTGCTCCTTCTCCAACTCCTGCAGACACCACAAGTTTTCCAGCTGATCAGTAAAAAGAAATCATTGGCCACAGCAGCTATGATCCTTCAAAAGGGAGCAGAGAAGCTCAGTAAGTCAGTCACAGAGAACCAGGAGAACAGGAGGCAAAGGGATTTCAACTCTGAGCTGCTGCGGCTGCGCTCACAGTGGAAACTACGCAAAGTTGGAGACAAGATCCTGGGAGACCTCAGCTACCGCAGTGCAGGTGATAAGAGAGGAAAACACCTCACTCAGTCAGTGCTGCTGCATCCTACAGATTAACATTAAGACACTTTAAACCTGTTTTCTAACTTCCGTGTTTGCCCGTGCAGGCTCCCTTTTCCCCCATCATGGCACATTTGAAGTGATCAAAAATACTGACATTGATCTGGACAAAAAAATCCCAGAGGATTACTGCCCACTGGACGTCCAGATCCCCAGTGACCTGGAGGGGTCTGCTTACATCAAGGTCAGAGGGAAATGACATGTATAATATGTTTTTATTCATCTTTTCTCATTCCTTGTTCATTCTTTGATTTTAAATAATTACCAGATATATTAGGTGTAATAGAAAGATACTGTTTGTATCTTCAGGTGTCCATTCAGAAACAAGCTCCTGACATTGGTGATCTGGGAACCGTCAGCCTTTTCAGACAACAGCAAAAGAACAAAGCTGGTATGGTTCAGCACATATACACATTAAAAGTTGTTCAGTAACACAGAGGCTCTTTTCTTCCACGTTTTTTTTTTTTTTCTAGAAGGGCATTTTATGAAAATACTAAATTATTACATTCTGTGTGAGAAAGCGCTCTTTAGGCTTTGGCAAAGGATGACTGAGCCCAATCTAAATTGTAAGAGTAAATCCCACAAACAAAACTCTTGGTCTTTTCTTTTGTCTCTGCTCAGGTACGCAGCAATGGCACGTGAAACTGGAGGCGGCTCAGAATGTTTTGCTCTGTAAGGAGATCTTCGCCCAGCTGTCCAGGGAGGCAGTTCAGATCAAATCCCAGATCCCTCACATTGTTGTGAAAAACCAGATCATCTCACAGCCATTCCCAGGTGAGAATGTGACACAAATGGGGTCCTGGTTCAGTGTTTCTCACAGTTATATATGTGCTTATGTGTGTCATACGGAAGCATATACCTTGCCTTGAGAGAATAACTGACCCAGTGCTTGAGCACAAGGACCAGTTCTCCACCTGCTGCAGGTTAGGGGGACCCTCCAGCTCACAGCAGGTCTTCAGAGCAGAACTAGGACTGCAGTCCAAAAATGGTGGAAATGTAGTTTGTCTCACCGTGGGTTGAGACTGCCGCAACAGAGTAAACTTTCAAAATAAGAGCACGGGAGGTTGTCCACTTGTCAAGTGATTGTGGATGGCATTAAAGAGATGAAAACATTTTTAAAAAATGCTACAATATCGATGCATTAGTCTATGTCTACGAAATCCATGACAACACGGTGGTTTTTGTTCGATATTACCATGGGAATATCTTGTTGTAATTTAATAGAACTTAGAACCAAAATGTAGACTCACAGCCATCGTACAAAAAATACCTGTGTGGTATTTTTCTCTAAAACTTGAAATATACATTATGGGGATTCGTTGAGACTCGAGTTAACGCATCTTAATGTGAAATAATATGGGACCTATAGGTATTAACAAATGGTGAAAGATCCAAATAAGAACAGGTGGGGATGGAGGAAGACAGACAATCTGATAAAGAAAGGCAAGAAGTGGTATTATATATATATATATACACACACACACACACACACACACACACACACACACACACACACACACAAAGAGTTGATTACAAAACAAGACACATGTGGGAACAGTGAGGGGAAAGGAAAACAAAAGACCAAAAAATAGGAGGTAAAACCAAAATAAGACACGATAAAAACAACCTTTGAAGTAAAACAGGAAGTGACCAAAAGACAAAGCAGAGAGGCATGAATACGAACATGAAGCACTCTGACAGCTAGAATAACATTTAACATAATGACTGACTAATGTGGGCTTTTTTTCTTCTTTCTTTCTTTTTTAGTGCTCTTTTACTGGAGGTTAAGTAACAGGTGCTACCTGCTGCATTCCTCTTTTTATCTATAAAACAAACACCATATTAATGTTCTGAGTAATATTCTTAATGTTACGTACGAGCAGCCGTCATCAAGTCGAGGTATTCAGCTTTCACATTTGTCAAGAGTGTAAAGAATGTTCTTTCACTTTTAGTGAACACTCAAATCAAATCACTTTTATTGTCACGTACTGCAGTATCCGGTCCAGGTTCGGGACCTTGTTCAGTACTTACTGTTCAAATTGTAAAGTAGTTTGAACAGTTTATGGCTGGGGTGACTGGAGTCTTTGATGATCCTCCTGCCCTAATTCATCCAAAGTGTCATTCTCCCCTCCAAACACACCTGTGATTTTTCTCTCCCTAGGTCTGCAGCTGTCAATCTCACTGTGCCACTCTACGGGAGAGAAGAAAAACAACCGGGCATCTCCAGAGAAACCCAAACCGGACGACCACCTTTACGTACTAGAACACAATCTGCATCAGATGATGAGAGAGGTGAGAAGTGAGATTCCTATAGAGCGCAATCTATTAACCACCTCTGGAGGAAACCTATCAGATATGATCTGAAATGCGTTAAATATTTTTCTCTTTTTCCTTTAACTTTTAACTATATATCCTCAAAAAATCCATCTCAGTTAGAGAATACTGGTCCGGTCTCAGTGTGCTTAGACTGCGATAAAGACCGTAGAGAATTAAAGAGAAAACTGCAATAGTCCCCTGCAGTATTACTTGGTGATGGTGGGGAGGAAGAACTCCCTTTTAACAGGGAGAGAGCACCGGCTGATGTGCACTCAGGAAGAGACAGTCATTTCTGAGCAGAGGGTGCTTACAAGAAAAATACAGCTACAAAGTGAAGGAATCTATGAGGGTTTTTTTTTTCTTGTAAATTTAAAGTTTTAATGTTGGAATTTTTTTTAGATATTAAGATATATTTGTGTTCTTCTACCTACAACAACCCTGGAAACCTGTCGTCTTGTACTCTGCCAGGAGACACTTCTGTTGTTATTAATTTAAATTTCATTGTCTCAGTGCACATTTCATTGGCAACATTTGTTTCTTTTATAGTTTCACAAGCAGCAGCTGAGCTCTGTGGTGATACCGCACCCTTCTAGCGCTCCCTTTGGGCACAAACGTCTGCGTTTGGCAGGGCCACTGGCCTATGACAAGGCAGAAATCTCCAGTTGGCAGCAGACTGAGGGGCTGCTGGAGAAGATGATCAAACAGGCCAAACACATCTTCCTACGTCGCAGGTAAAATATCCTGATGTAATTTTACAAATACAGAAATAGTTACCAGCAGCAATATTGAATTTTACTGCAAATTTAGGAGCTCCAGAAACTTGAGCAGCCCAAAAAAGCAGCGTTTGCCTACATTTGGCTAGCAGATGGCTCACATTGTCTTTGTTGTTTCATCAGAATCAGAATACTTTATTAATCCCAAACTGATTATGGAAATTAAATTATGTCCTTTTATCTTAAAATATTTAACCTTTTAACAGAAGAATTGTTGTTAGCTACTTTTTGTTGGCTGTATAATGCTTAGCAATACTCTTCACGGGTACCACGGTGTTTGTGGTCTACAGGACGGCACGTACCATCGATAGTCTGGCCAGTCGGATTGAAGACCCGCAGATCCAGGCTCACTGGTCCAACATTAATGACGTATACGAGTCCAGTGTCAAGGTGCTCATCACTTCACAAGGCTACGAGCAGATCTGCAAGTAAGTGGAGTGCAGAGGAGTTTATTTTACTCATTATTTTAAATATCAATATTTATTTTTATTTATTTTTTTATTTGTACATTTTATTTTTACTATATTTTTTATTATCACAGATTTACAGATTTTAAATATTTACTAAATATTCACTATTCATTTTGTACTATTGTTATTTTAATTTAAAATACTTTTTTTTTTTAAATTATTAGAATTAATAAATTTTGTATTTTGTAATCGAAAAATTCAACAATTGAAAAAATCCTTGACACAAAGTTTTTGCTTTGCTGATTTGTTTAATGCTCAGCTCTGCAGCGCTCAGTGGCCGCCATGTAAATGCAAATGTTTTACCTACATTTGCAACTAAAAACAAACCTGCAATAGAAATGTATCTAGAAGCAGCATGTGAATAAAAAGTATGACAACATTAAACCCACATGGTCCCCAGTTTTTAAACAAAATTACTGATAACACAGCAGCAAGAGTGACTGTCTAACTGAGACGGTGAGCTCATTTTTCTAGTGTCCAAATCAGAGCACTGTTATCACCATCACAACCTTTACTGGGAAACAGCTGGCAGGGTCCTTCAAAAAACAACCTGCTTAATGAACTTTGATGTGAAGAAAAGAGGACTTTAAAGTAGGGCTTTTGACCCACTGCATGCAATTCATTTGCATGAATGTTTTTTGTTGTTGTTTTTTTTGTTGTTGTTTTTTATGGGCATTGTATGTAGTTATATTACAACATTGGTACACACTGTAGAAATAACAATTTTCTATTTCCTGTTTTTTTGGGGTTTTTTGATAACCTGTGGGGTTTTTTTTGTTTGTTTGTTTTTTCTCTTTTAAGTATTTATTATAAGGCAGATGTATTTCTTATCCAGTTACTTGAATAATCAATAGGATACTTGATTACTAAAATATTCAATAGCTGCAGCTTTTATTATTTAATAGTCTCAGGGCTCGCAAAATCGCTATCCCGACGTCCCGGGGCTAGCAGTTTTTCCGGTCGGGCTACCAAAATCCATCCCAGCCCTGCCCATCAGGCTATCATAGGAAGGAAAAATATATGTCAATACTTTTGCATCCTTTCGCAAACGTAGCTGGGTAATGTTGTCATTGGCATCGAAGAGCCACTGTCAATATGCGACATAATGAAATCGCGTTTAAATTTGCGCTTTTTTTTTTGTTTTTGTTTTTTTGCTTCACGTTCACTTTGCCATTGCGCAAACTGTGAATAGAGAGCGGCAGTACTGATTGGTGAGTGACAGATTAATTCCTCTCCAATTCCTTATCACTCGTTAGCTTACTATGCAAATATGACAAGTGAAATCTTCCGCAGCAAGCTTAAACATGTCATAGAGGTTGATTGTGCAGAGAATTGCTGATCATTATGCAAGTGCCTGTGTAAAAGCAGATGGATTTACGCAGGTATTTTAGTTCTGCAGAGCCAAATAAGACAGGTCAGGGTGAAGAGGGGACAGCCAAAGAAAAGCCGACCACAAAATGGAGAAGTTATGACAAATCAGACCATGAGGCAAAAAGAAAGTGCAGCTTTTTTGGTTTCATGGACAAAAGAATTTCTGTGGCTGCAATATGACGAGCTAAATAACATAAAGTTCTGCCGGGTGTGTCATTAGTTTCACTCGATTTCTGAGTCGACAAGTGCCTTTGTTACTGGGACCAGTAATTTTAAGAAAGACCCCATCAGAACCCTTGAGAAATGCAAGAAATGCATTATTGCTCAGTCTACAGTATCTTTCCGTGAACAAACGGCAATTGCAAAAAACATATGAAAAATAAACTAAGCACAACAAGAAGTCCTGAAAAATCTGTTTAGAACAGCGTTCTGTGTTGCAAAGAGTGAACTACCTTTGGCAAAATTTAGCAGTCTTTGCAAACTTTGCAAACAAAACAAATGGCCTAGATCTTGGTTCCACTTACCTCTTACCATTATATTTTTCTATTTTCGTTCACTGCTGTTGTGAACTATATAAATAAATGGATGTGAAAAAAGCTTTTCCCTCCTCATATATGGATGTTTACATGACTCTGGACCAGCGTGTTTGATCCTCTGAAATGAGGCTCACTGTGTTTTATTTGCTGTGTTTAGGTCCATCCAGCTGCAGCTGAACATCGGTGTGGAGCAGATCAGGGTGGTGCACAGAGATGGACGTGTGGTCACGCTGTCACACCAGGAACAGGAGCTGCAAGACTTTCTCCTCTCACAGGTAACACCAGTAACTTCCACAGTTATTGGAGGAGGCTGAATTTACTAGAAGCATGGCTGCACACTGTTGACTGTAATGCTTCAGTATTTAGTTCTGCGTATGCCTGCCTTCTTTTCACAGATGTCGCAGCATCAGGTACATGCAGTTCAGCAGCTGGCTAAGGTGATGGGCTGGCACGTCCTGAGCTTCAGTAACCATGTAGGTCTGGGCCCAGTGGAGAGCATCGGAAATGCCTCCGCGGTCACTGTTGCCTCTCCCAACGGAGAGTACGCCATCTCAGGTGAGACTGATGGCTCTCGGATCCTCAGGTTTCTCTGTAGTAGGAAGAGCATATTAGCAGCAGCAACTCAGTACTACTCATGCCTCTATGCATGAGACATTCAGGCTCTCCCTTAGCTAACCTCCCCCCAATAAAGGCTAAAATGTAAAAAAAAAAAAAAATTATATATATATATATTTTTTTTTTTTAAAGAAAAGGCAGAAACTAATGTAATAAATCAAGACGACACCCAGTCTGTCAGTTCATGGAAAATTACTCAGGATTAAGCAGACAGGTTGATACAAGTTGGGGAATCTTTGGGAAACTTCCTCTCTTCAAACATCATTGAAATGCATCATGAACCGGTTTCCATGCAACACTCATACTGAATATCTGGAAACACTGAAAAATAATGTGTGGCGAGACAAGAGAGAAACTTTATTGTCATTGTTTAAAAACAACAAAAGTCTGCTCAGCAGCTCTTTATCATTATGCAGCAAAGTAAATAACTGTCAGTGGTTTTTCATCAAAGTTTCTTTTCTCTTCAGTACGTAACGGCCCAGAGAGCGGCTGCAAAGTTTTGGTGCAGTTCCCTCGCAGCCAGATCAAAGAGCTGCCAAAGAGCGACGTCATCCAGGACGCCAAGTGGAGCCACCTCAGAGGGCCGTACAAAGAGGTCCATTGGAGCAAGATGGAGGGCCGAAACTTTGTCTACAAGATGGAGCTCCTCATGGCGGCGCTGACTCCCTGTCCTTAGGTGCTGACTCTGTCTGCTGACTCCTCCCACACACAAAATAACAGTTTATTTAAAGAGGACAATCTTCCTTCATAGACTCTCTTCCTCACATTTGAAAGAATCGACAGCACTTTCATTTCTTTTATTTTTTAACCAACTTGTGGACCGCCGTAAAGTCTGTCCACACAAGTGTCCTCTGCCTGTTGCTTATAGTGTAAGGTGTGGACTGTGTGTATATACCTCAAACAGTTTGATACAAAATAAAAAGCAGTCTGTCTATATATATTTGTCCTCTTTCTTAAGAATACAGCTGTGGATCAAAGAGACACTGTTTATAAAACTGAACTTAGGGATTTGCCGGTTCAAACTTTAAATTTGACCACATTAAGTTCAACGTTGTCTTAGGTGTGTGTGTGTGTGTCTGTGTGTGTGTGTGTGTGTGGTGTGTGTGTGCGTGTGCGTGTGTGTGTGTGTGTGTGCAGTTTTAATACCACTCCATTTGTCTGATGTGACAACATTTTAGATAAACTAACTTTGAGTCTGGACTTTCAGGCAGGTGGGGAACCTGAAGTTCCTGTGTAGGCACGAGGGAGGAGAGAGTTCATTAAGAAAGAAATCACAAAATCATTTGCACTGTGAACCGGATATTTTTTCTTTAGGTAATAAAAGAAAAACAATTATTTTCTTTTGTTTCTACATTCATTCATTCTTTCTTCCTGCATTCCTTCCTTCCTTTCTTCCTTTTCCGGGCCGTGATCAGCTGACCTGTGTCACTGCAGCTTCATGGCTCCGTGTGGATTTAGCAAACTGCAATTACTACTTGACTGCTTTGGACACAACTTTATTTACATTACTTTCTGATTTGCTGAGCCTGTATCATCAAGGCCTCAGCTGAAACTATCACCAGCCTGCAGCACACAAAAGCGAAACTCGTTTGTTGTTATCATGAAATAATCTGATTTAATTGCTTATTAATGAAACCAGCCCAGTTTAACCCTTGGTCATGAGTAAAATAAAGTCACACAGTTTCTTTGCTTAGAGAATAAATACAAGATTTATTGTGTTCCTGTATCATCGGTGGTATATTCACATTCACTCATTCAGTGACAGTCATCTGTAAATATCAATATCAGTACAAAATACCAACACAGTGCAGGTGTTCATAACTGACTGGTCATGCTTTGAGCTGTAAGTAACTAGAGTATATAAAGAGGACAGTTTGATGTACAAAACATTCCACCTTCAAAAGTATGTCCTCATGTTGTATCACTGACAGCTTTGATTGGCCATTTCAGGTGAGTCATCACTCAGACGTTCATTATCTGCAGCTCAGTCACATCGTTTTCTGCAACAACAAAAAAAGGGATTAAAGTGTCAATACATGATTAAGACAACAAACAAAGCTATAATAGGTCTTCACAGACCTTTGCACTCAAACACGCCCTTACTGTGATACAATGATAGAGTCAAACCATAGTCAACCATCACACCCTTCAACCTATATTTATTCTCCACACAATCATGCAGTGGTAAGAAGAACACATTTTAACTGTAGATAAAACAACACGCTCACAAACGTGTTTATGCGGAAAATTGTCTTCTTTATTATTTCACCTTTTACCTAAAAAAGCAGCCACACTTCAGACACTGTATCAGGTTTTATTTGCCTCCTATATGAAACCAGTTTGTAACTTATTTAGTAGTAGTCTTCAGGAATAGTTCTCCTATGGCTATTCTTTGGATTTGGCTGCTTCGTGTTCTGTTCTCTCTGAAGATGATCCCACACTGCTTCAATAATATTGTGTCAGGACTCTGAGGAGGCCAGTCCATGACTGATGGTGTTCCACTGTGTGTTTTTCTATCCAGGTGTGCATTTACTGTGCTAGCAGTGTGTTTGGGATCATTGTCATGCTGAAAAATTAAGCTGCTGTAAGTTTCCAGATGGTATAGCACAGGGGTAGGCAACTCCAGGTCTCGAGTGCTGGTGTCCTGCAGGTTTTAGATCGCACCCTGGGTTAACACACCTGAATCAAATGATTAGTTCATTACCAGGCCTCTGGAGAACTTCAAGAAATGCTGAGGAGTCATTTAGCCCATTAAATTAGCTGTGATGGATCATGGACACATCTAAAACCTCCAGGACACCGGCACTCGAGGCCTGGAGTTGCCTACCCCTGGTATAGCATGATGGATCAGAATCTGATGGCACTCTTTCTGTGTTCAAAATTTCTGCCCCAAACTTCTGCATGACAGAACTTTATGACTAAACCTGCACCAAGAGTTCATCCTCAGTACCAGGGAGAGGTTTGAGGAAACTGGCCTGCAAATGTGCCCTGAAATCCCTGAAAGCAGCAGGTCTGCCATGGACTACCTGTTAAACTGCATGTAGTTCAGACTATGCCTGTTTAGTGCAGACAATAAAGTATTGTATGAATGTGTATAAAGGTGTCCTGTAGTGTTTCCATTATCATTGCCACAAAAATGTAATAAATTCTGTAAAACACTGGATATTTGCAGGAGAAACAGACACACAAATCTTTTTATCTTTTTGTTTTTATTTGTTTTGGTTACATAGTTGTCCTCCATGTAGAGTGACCTATTTTGGTTATGAATGTTTTCAGCACATATCCATTCAAGAAATCAGGGAAGAATATGTTTGAGCAATGCCAGCAATCCAAAATCTTCTGAATGGGTATTCACAAGACATTTCCAAGTTGCAAACCTGTTTTTCTGGCATCACCTGAATGCACAATCATTGACACCATTAGAGGATATTCACTGAGATGGATTCTGCTGTTTACACATGGCTTTACCTGGCATCTCTCTCCTGCGCTTGCATGCCATTATCTTCTTGTAGGCCTTGTCCAGGAGCCACATGGTGAGCATAAGAAGGCTGGCCAAGCAGGCCAGGGCCAAAAAAGAGACAGTAAGGTACTGAAGGTCCTCATACAGAACCTCTGTAGGACAGAAACACAGGAGCCACATCTTATTTACTGCAAACTGAGCTGCAAATAGGGCTGATCTGTTTATTAAAGATAATTTTTCATCATGTTCACTTGTTAAAAAAAAGACTTCCCCTCTTTGGTCAATCCATATGTTCTTCCTTCCTGCATTCATTCCTCCCTAAAATTATCACAGCACATGTGCCATTCTTCATTCTTCATTTTCATAGTTTATTTGCTTTAGAGTTACTCTGTCTGGTGTGGAAAACAGTTCTGAGCCTGCCTCTAATAACCACAGACGCCCTGTTTGGGAAATCTGGGCAGGGCGTTTGTCGTCTTTAAATCCAAACAACTGTTACCACAATGCCAGTCAGACTACGTCAAACTGAAGCCGAGGGCTTTTGTTGATGCTCTAATCACGATTAGTGCTGCTTTTTTAAATCCTGTGAAGAAATTCTTTGTACAGGTATGACAGAAGTGCTGTTCATTACCTTAAGCTTTAAAAACTGAGCTGTTCTGCCAGGACTGTTTCTTTCTTTTATGCTCTTTTTCCCTCGTTGTGTGTTAGTTTTCTGTTTTGTTTTTTAATGTAAAGACTCTCACCATTTACTTTTAGGACGAAACCAAAATCCTTGCTGCTCCCAGTTGATTCTGTGATGGTGACCACGTAAAATCCACCATCCTGCAGCCGCAGGTCTGACAGGCCCATCGAACCGTTGTCATAGGCCTGCACTCGGCTGCTGTAGTCCTCCGTTATGTTGGTGTACCCCCCCGGCTGCCAGGCCCCTATCGTCCGGCTCACCAATCCTGACATAAAAGTCCATTGTATGTTTGGGATCCCGCTACAGGTGAAATTCACTGAGAAGATCACATCGTCCTGCACTGAGCGGATCAGGCTCCTCTGAGGAGAGTATATGGAGATGGCTCCAGCTAAACAAACACATGAACATACATGCATACATTAGTCTGTATTCTCTGGGTTATTCTAGAATCAGCTGAATGTAAGTAAGTCAAAGGGAAATTCTGCTTTGCATCAGAAGAAAATTAACACAGCAGCAAATTGCAAAAAGAGCCTCAGTGATCCAGACTCTCCTAAAGTCCTAAAGTTGTTTGAGTAAAGTGGTACTTCCAAACTATTATACAGGACGTGAACACCAGTGTTGTTTCTTCCTTCAACAGCCATAAGCTGCGTTCACAGGTGTTAACATGTGGTTAAATTACAACATGTTGAACTGATTCTGGTATCAAAATACATGTAAAGGGAGACCTTTCCTGTGCTATAACTTGTTTTATCCAGCCACCTATCCTGCAAGGTGATATGACCTTTAAAAGTTTACCCAAAATGCATTTTTTAAACTTTTCTCGAATTAATGATCAGAAAACAGATCAAACATCCAGGACACCAATACATGTGTCATAACTTGGTGGAGAGAGGACCCAAGCATCGGGCACGTAGGCAGATTCAAATGATAATGAGCCTTTACTTGGCTGAGACAGGACTACATACTGGGCAATACCTGGGGATTCGAAAGTCAATACATGCAGGAAGTAAGAAGTCGAAACAAGACACATGAGAAAAGTGTCTATCAAAGTAAAACAAGAAATAAACACACAAACAACACTACTCAGAATAAACAGGATCATAGAAACAGACGACTCAGCTGGAGGAACAAACACTAACATGACAACTGAACCAGAGCCCAATAATATCACTTCACAAAATCTAAAGTCAGAGTTACTAGAAGCAGAATTCATAGAAAACACTAGAGTACAGATGAAAACAGCTCAAAACTGCAAGAGCATGACAAATATTTCTGTTACTCTTTAGCTTTAGAATTAAATTAATGTGGCTCATACCGTGTACATTATAACATACCATAATAGACCCATTTCTGTAATATACTCACATATCTATACTATTGCTAATATATATTGTAATATATCTATATCACTAAAGCACTTCTGGATGGATGCAAACTGCATTTCGTTGCCCTGTACCTGTGCATGTGCAATGACAATAAAGTTGAATTCTATTCTATTCTCTGCTGTTGAAAGTAAGACATGTGTCACGATATCTTATGTTAAGGTGGTTATGAAAAAGAAACAAAAGCAAGATCTTGGCTTTAGATTACAATGTTCCAACCTTTGTATTTCAACGGACTGTAACTCAAAAAATATTCAAACTATGAGGAGAACATTTTTATCATTAGATATACGGATGTTATTTTAAAGAAAAATCTGTTGATTCTCAGTGGTGGGGGGAGAGACTTGAGTCACAGTGATAGCAATTAGAGTAGAAACATGCTGGTGTGTGACACAATGGAGCGCCATAAAAAGGACT